ACGGCCTGGAGTCCAGCTGCCAGTGGAGTCCTTGCTCCCCTCTGAAAACTGTAGCTTGGCTTTTCCCATCTGTGTTTCTGTCAGCATACTGGTCTTCAGAGCCCCACCCAGAATCTCTCACTAAGCTATTTATAGCATTTTTAAGACTTGTTTAGCATCTCCAAGCCTTCCCATAAGCCAGTTCCAAAAGCTTAACATCTCAACAATGACCCTACTTCTCTGGTACCAAAATCTGCCATAGTCACTTCCTTTATTTTGGGGACAAAATACCCAATATCTGCATCTTAAAGGAGGAGTTCATTTTGGCTCAGGTTTTAATCCATAGTCAGCTGACTGCAGTGCAGAAGGGCCTGGCGAAGAGAGCTGCTCACAGCATGGTGGATGGGAAGCCGAGAAAATACAGAAAAGAGCCATGAAGGGAGATACAGCCTCCTCGGTCATACCCACAATAACCTACCACTTCTGACCAAACCTTGCTTCTTAAAAGCAAATGAAAAAAAAAAAAAAAAAAAAAAAGGGCTGGGGAGATGGCTCAGTGGAATAAGTGCTTCCCTGGCAAGCACAAGGGCCTGAGTTCAATCCCCGGTTCCACAAAAAAAAAAAAAAAAAAAAAAAAAAAAATGATACCTCCAAAATTTAGTCACCTTCCAAAGGTCCCATCTCTGAGCACATGACGATTTGGGAGACACTAGATCTAGGCCATAACAATAAGCATATTCAGGAGTTTGGTTTCTTGGTTCATTCCTCTCCCCATATGTACAGTTTGGGTCCAACTTTGAAGTGTGGGTCCCTTTATAGATAACAAAGATAAATGCTATATAGTATTCAGTTACCCCGTTGATGTAATGTTTTTAAGGTTTCTTTTTGTTACTTTCATAATCCACTCAACTCTTACAAATTCCTTAAACTGCTTTCCAAATGCCATCACTTCTGCACCTAGTGTTACATATTCTTCCAATTTTAAAATATTCTTTCCCCCCCTCCCCCCCCCCCCAGGAACTTGTCTGGGAAGTGGCTTAAGTGACAGTTGCACGTCTCTTAACTTTGTGTAATTTCTTTAATTACATCCACAAAAAGTAAATCAAAGAAGGGCCTCTGGGATCATCTGGCTTTGAGAAAAATGATAAGCATGGGTTGGCAAATAGGTTTAGGTAAATTATTAATAAGATACCACTGTGACACAGTACAGAGATGAAAGACTAATGTCCTCACTGTGCTATATTGTGTTATTCTACTTTATGTGGAGTGCACATCCAGGCCAACCATTGAGCTTGGGAGAAAAGCCATGGGCAAGAGACCAGTAGCAGTTTCAGTAAATGGATGATCACCTTGTACTATGGCTGTGACCTGTGGTCACTTAATTGTAGCCTGGGACACCTTCTTTTCCCAGTAATTTACTACTTTGTGTTTTTTTGCGTTTCCTACCCAAGCCTGGTGTCACTTGCATTTTCACAAACGATGGTTGTAGGGCAGGCCTTGTTCTTACTTAGGCACACGAGCCTTTATCCTTAATGAGCACAACAGTTACTTCCACTGCTCTGCCCTTCTAGCACATCGTGTGGGGGATGCATTGGTGCTCCCATGCACAAACCAGAAGACTTGTAGGCTCCTACATGAGTTTGCAGCCATTCCCAGTGTCGCCAAGAGCATTAGGTCCCAGTGATAGAGCAACAGCTACAGTGGTGGCCCATCTTGTCAAGGGTAGGGAAAGAAGTGAGCACTAAGTTTGATAATAATAAAGCTTACTTTGTCAGGTTAAAATGTGTTCAGAATGTATTACTTGCATTCTTTTTATGCCTATGGAAATAATCCATGTTGAATTACTTAACACCTTAAATTTAAAATCTCTAAGTATGTCCTGGTTGATTTCTGGAGCCAATCTGATATAGGCAGCATGTGTTAATGAGTGGAAAGGCAATGAATCATGGCATAAGTGGAAGATAATAATAATAAAAAATTTTTAAAACCCCTCATGCTTCATGTACAGAATGTGTCAGGAAAAAGCTTAAATAGGTCAAAAGCTTTGTCCAAAGAACATGGAGAAAATTGACCTCACTGCTCTTCTTTCTCAGATACATTCCACCGTTGATCTGGGGGAAAAGCGGACACATCCAGACAGCCTTGTATGGGAAGATGGGAAGGGTGAGGTCGCCACACCCTTACGGGCATCGGAAGTTCATCACCATGTCTGATGGAGCCACATCTACGTTTGACCTCTTCGAGCCCTTGGCTGAGCACTGTGTCGGAGGTGAGCTAGTTTAGGTCGCAGGAATCCCTCTCAGAGAAGGAGCAGTGGCCAGAGAGGAGCTGGTACAAATGCTTCTGCCACCTTCTGTCCCTTGGGCTGGCAGGCTGCTGAGATTCATCGCTCAGGAGCAACCTGCAAGGATTGGCTCCAGCATTGCTTGCCAGTGCTGAGGAAAGCTCTCCAGAAAACATTGCAGAATAGTTTTCAAATCCTCTTCTGAAACACTGGAGTGCAGTGTAATGGATGGGGCTGACCTTGGAGCTCAGGCCTCAAGGCCGAGGCCTCTGAGTCAATTTTGGTACCGGAGGCCAGACTGTTCTAAGCACTTGGTATCCACTGTTATTCCCTCAGAACCCTGTGAGATCAGTCTCTGCCATCCCCACTCTACTGAGGAGGAAAGTGAGGCTTGGAGAAGCAGTAGAGCCTGGCTTTTTTGCATTACAGAACATAAAACTTTTCAGATGCTCTATGCAACAGTTTCCTTGGACAAAGAGACTCATTAAGGTCATCTTTATCTTAGATAATAAACAACTCCTATTTCCATTGCTGTTGGAATTAGCATTGTTCTGTCAAATCTAGACAGTAGACATTCCTTACATAATGCTTCCTAACAGCCAAGTGTGGTGGCACACACCTGTAATCCCAGCACTCAGGAGGCTGGGGCAGGAGAATTGGTACAAGTTTGAAGCCAGCCTGGGCTACATAGTGAGTTCACGGTCAGCTTGAACTGCATAATGAGTCCCTGTCTCCAAAAAACCAAAAATGCTTCATAATGAGGATCTTTGAGCAAGAGGAATAAGGTACCAGCATCCTTTTGCATGCTATTCCTACTAGAAGCAAGCATATTCATAGGCATTTTTTTAAGAATGTGGTAATTATTTATGAATAAATTCCAGTAAATGTATTTTAAAAAAGTGTACTACAACCTTCAGTTATTTAAAGTATCTGGAGCTACTGAGCGGCCACTGACAGAAGTCCATGACCCCTCTGCCTGGAGGGCTCATCTACAGACCTTCACAAGGCTGCCTACTCCTTGTCGTTCAGCTCAGATGTCACCTCCTCAGAGAGTCCCGACTCCCCTACTGGGTGTTGTCTTCCCATAGACCCATCATGCCCCGTAGTTCCTCTTGGTCCCTGCTACTCCATAAAGTCCCACATACAGTCCTGCACCATCTCCCCAGTGGGATGCCAGGTCCAGAACAGTGGACTCCCAGTACACACCATGGCTGGCACAAGGACAGGAATAAGACAGCAGCTCACGTTCTGTTTAGAAACCTCATAGCTGTTCTTCAAACATTTATTTCTCCACCACATCCACTTCGTTGTTTCTTGTTCTCTCCCAGTGATGACACTTTTCTTTCTACTATAGTAGAAGAAGATTTAGCCTCATCAGTCTGCTACCCCCCCCCCCGCTTTTTTTTTATTTTTGTGTTCTTGAGACAGGGTCTCGCTATGCAGATCAAGCTGGCCTTTAGCTTATTTTATCGCCCAAGTTGGCCTCGAACTCACAGCCATCCAAGTGCGCCACCACGCCCAGCTACTTTTCTTATACCAGCACCAAAGGGCGAGTTGAAAGGATAAAGCACTGGCTCTTAGTTGCATTTGCTTGTCCGTTTCAGTCCAAAAAAAAAGGCTGGTGAAGATGATTCTGGGGAAGGCAGTATCTGTTTCCCTGAAATGCTCCAATCATATTTCTCTTTTTAAGACTTTTTTAACTACAGAAGCAATGTCCTTGTTCTAGAAAATTTAGATAATACAGAAACTTTTGAAAAGGAAGTAACACCCCCGCTGCACGCTGAGATGGCGAATGAGACTGGGCGTGGTGGCGCGCCTGTAATCCCAGCTCTGTAATCCCAGCTCTGTAATCCCAGCCTGTAATCCCAGCCGGGGAGGCTATAAACAGATGGATCACTACGAGTCCAATCTAGTACTGAGACCCTGGACATCCCGTAGACCCTTCCCTAATGAAAATGAAAAAAAAAAAAAGAAAAGGAAGTAATCACCTGTAATCCCATGATCCCACCACCCAGCATACAATTATTAACATCTTATAGTTCTAGCCATTAATTTCCAAAATTTGAATTGCTATATATTATATTATAAAAACCTAAATATCTTCAAAAACAGTTTCAATGACTGCTTAACACCATACCATAACACCATACTGCTGAATGCCAAATGGTGTTACCATAATCTAAATTTCTTCTCTTACTGGGCATTTAGCTCATTTATAATGTTTTGTCACTATGTATGATTATATTCTGCACACCCTTAAATATAAAATTTTAAACAAGATTCTGAGACTCTGAATTACTACATCAGTGTTTATAAAATGTTTAAGGCTCTGTATGCATTTTGTAGAATTATTCATTAAGCCACGTCTTCCTATTAACATTAAGAATTTTTCAATTGTTTTTATCTTAATTGAAAGGAAAATTATGAACTTAACATAAAAAGGGGATACAGATGAATGTCCATTTTGTATCTGTGTATTCAAAGTGGTTGGGATAGATATATAGTTACATTCT